TATACCATCCAACACACATAGTATTGAGGGTATATTCGAAATATTCGTCATATGAAATATTAATTTTAGACATGCCAAAGTATATATATTCTTGACCTGCTGGGCTATATGATCCAGGATATCGTATATCCCCTATATAACGATACCCCGCGGTATTCGGTATTTTAATTATTTTATCCACATTATTAATGGAATTGTCTGAAATTCTACACAAGGAGTTCCTTGTGAGTAAGAGAATTGTCTATTGTGAGAAACAGAATTGTCTATAGGGGTCCACGATATCGTTTAGCCCTATTGCCAGTTTTAGTGACATTTTTTACCGGAATTGTTTCAAATTTCTTATTTAAAGTTCGTAATGGGTAGGTAGTACAGCCTATGCCAAAAAATTGTGTATGCATGTTCTCGTCTTCGTATAGCCCCCATATAAGGATACCTCCGAAATTCGTTATTTTGATGATTTTAGGGATAATGCTCATCGGAATTGTTTCAAATTTCGTATGTGAAGCTCGTAATTGGTACTACAACCAATGGAGGAAAGGACCACGTCTTCATACAGGCTACATATAACGGCACCACATATAAGGTCCACGAAATCGTATATTCCACATATAACGATTTAGCCACATTTTCAATCGAATTGTCTGAAGAGAAATGTCTATATAAGGAATAGCCCCCATAAAACGGTATCCCCGATATTCGGGGGTTTTGATGATTTTATAGACATTACGAAGGTTCACGTATAGCCTCCACGTCTTCTTATAGGCTACATATAACGGCACCACACATAAAGTCCACGAAATCGTATATTCCCCATATAACGGTGCCTCCCGATATTCGGTATTTTTATGATTTTAACCACATTTTCAATCGAATTGTCTGAAAATCCACACAAGGAGTTATTTTGGAGTAATTTACCCTCTGGAAGAGAATTGTCTATATTGGTCCACGAAGGGCATTTTTTAAGGAATTTTCTGGAAATTTTTCAAGTTCCTTCAAAATGGTGGAGGGTATTATAAGTTCGGCCCGGTCAAACTTAGCTTCTTTTTCACTTGTTAGTACTCAGAATAAACAATATTGCTGTCCAAAACTATTTCAAGCCCATATGTAAGCCCTAGAAACTAAGAGGTATCGTAATATACAATTTTAAGGTTTCTTCTCTATTCTTACACCCAATACCAAACATAGTAACCTTTAGTACGCGTATCCAAAACAAAATACTACTCTGTTGTTGCAAAATCGTCAGGCAAAATCCCATTATTGTTGTTTACTACTCTTTATCGTTCTATCCGGGATCTAGTGATCCAAATTTAATACTTTTTGTACAATTATAGTAAACATTTCCAAACCCACCTCTATATCTCAATTCTAGATACCACGAGAGACCTCAACATCAAATTTAAGTATTCCAGCTCTATCCCTTCAACCAATGGCAAATTAAGTACTATTTAGTACTTGTCGTACAAATATGGGACGCATTTCCAAACCATCGCCAAATCTCAAACGAAGATACATCAAAACATCTAATCATGAACAGCGACCATAATACCAAATTTCAGATTTCAAGCACCATCTGTGCATCCAATACCATGTACCAAACATAGTACTAGTTAGAACTTTTCGTACACTTGTAATATACATTCCCCGAACCACCTTTTCGACTGAAACCGACCACCAACCATAAAACCTACCACCAATATAAAATTTTCAAAGTCACTGATTCATTTGCTCATTCGCTGATCCTAAAGCAAATTGTTCCAAATTTAGTAACATTTAGTACAGTTCGCACACTTAGAAAACATTTCCAAACCCACCTTCACATATTAAACTTATTTTCCCAAATTGGTCCTCATTCCAAATGTAAAGTTGTTAGCTCTATCCGTTCATATAATACAATATGGTACCATTTTATGGTACTTTTCGTAAACTTAAAGTTCGAATTCGCAAAAACCCTTTGGTACATCTATCCTGCACTCCGTCAGTAACCAGTTTGCAGCCCTGGAATTGAAGAATTAAAAACTGTTACTAGGACGTTCAAAATACTAACAATTGCGATGCATCGTTATACAGGGTGAGATGAAAAAACTGAAACCAACCAACTGCATGTCCAAGCCACTCGTCCGACAGCTGTTAAAATTATTCCAGTGACAGCACATTATATTGTTTACAAGCGTACAAAAGCCTCTTTCTGAGTATTTTTCAGAAAAGAAGTTATTCGTGATGGAATTCAAGCGTGATAGTGTGATTTCTTTATATTTGGCTGGAAAACCACAAGTGGCTATTGATAAGGCGCTCCAGCAATTAAATTTGAATAAATCTTTTGTGTCTCGTACCATCGCTCGTTACCGTGATTCTGGTAGCGTAGCCCGACGTCAAGGGAGTGCACGGAAGAAAAAAGCAACATTAGCAGAAATGGTTCGAAAAGTAACGAAGCGACTTGAAAACAGCAGAAGAAAACTGCAACATCAGCAGAAATGGTTCGAAAAGTAAAGAAGCGACTTGATCGAAACCAGCGTCGCAGTTCCCGAAAAATGTCTCGTGAGCTGAACATAATGCAATATTCCATTCGGCAATGTCAGATATTGTAACGAAAATATTCTGGAGGGTGTATTAAAGCTTTGGGCACGCAAACATTTTGGCCGCAGACCTTGGACATCCCAACAGGACTCAGCAACACCGCACTCAACATGCGCCACCCAAGAGTGGTTACAAAATGAGGTTCCCCGCTTCATTTCCAGCGAACAATGGCCACCAAAATCTCCGGATACCAATCCGTTGGACTATTGTGTCTGGTGTATTATGGAAAGCAAGGTTGACACTAAAAAAAAAGTGTCGATCACCTCAAGCAAGCACTTTGCCGGGAATGGGCCCAAAAAAACCGCAGAGCAACATTCGGGCAGCATGTGGCGGTTTCATTGGCCGTTTAAAATAATGACATTTGACTCTGTTGCAGTTATTCATCTCACCCTTTATATGGGCCTAAATTTGACTTTATTGAAAATTTATTGAGAGGATACGAATTCATAATATCAACAAGTAAAAAACACATATAAGGAGGTACCGTTGTATATGGGATATACGAGGACGTTGGCCTACATTAAAATCTTTCAATACGAAATTTGAAACAATTCCGGTAAATAATGTCGCTAAACTCATCAAAATACCGAATATTAAAAGGTGTCGTTATATGGGTGGTATACGCAAACGGTGACCGACATGAACTTAACCTTTCGTACGAGTATTGGCAAAATACACATGGGTGCAAACTTTTAGCTTTCTATCTCAATTCGTTCGAAAGATAGCGTGATTATAACAGACAGACGGATATCACTAAACCGACTTAGAATACTACACCGATAAAGAATAAATACGCTTTGTTGGATCTGACATGAGTATTTCGAGGAGTTACAAACTGAATGGTGGAGGGTATATAAACGACCACTTTGCTTGGAAATATAGCCAGATCTTAAATATACCTGAAATCGGGCCGTACCGTGAGATGGGCCTTATGCCAAAACTTGGGCCGATACTGAACAATTATTCAATAAGGAGGGAACGTGATATGGTGGCTTAAAGAAATAGTCCATATACACAACTTTTTGCAATATTGCAGCAAGCAGATGTTTTGTAAAATGAGGTTCTATTATCAGTCAATTCGACAAATTAAGGCCTACTCTATCAAACAACGAACCTGTTTCAACTATGAAATTCAATTCAGACTCAAATTGCGATTTGTTGATGTTCTAACTCTCTCATTCTGCCAACTTCTAATTGTCATGGTTAGGAATAAAAAATTTTCACTTTTTCTCGGGCGACAACGATGCACTCGCTGAAGAGCTACCAGAGAAGCAGAATAATGCTACCGGTGACAAAGTTCCTCAACATCATCATCGTCTTCGTCATAACGAAGTTACCGATGCCAAGGCAGATGATGCTAATAATAATAATGATGATGAGGCCATCGTGGCTGATACTGGAGATGAAGATGGTGTGGAAGATTCAACACGTGATGATGTTAAAACTTAGGCAGGCTTAATATCAAAACAGCAACAACAACAACAGCACCAACGACAAAGAACTGCAACGGTTATAAGAACAACAACATCTAGAAATCAGGAATCGATTGGCATGGGGATTTTTTTTGTTGGTGGTGTTGTCTTCCTTACTGGCCATGTCTTGGGCTTTGATGACTGAGTACCTGCCTGCCTGGCAGCTTGCCTGACGGTTTGTTTGTTGGTCTACATGGCCTGGTTGGCAGATTGTGCCTGTTTTTATCTGCTGTTGAGGCTGCTGCTGCCGGCTGCTGTTGCTCTTGTGTAGATGTTGTTGCTTGCAATCTTGTTGTCGTTGTTGTTTTTGTTGTTGCCGTGGATATATGTGGCGGAGTGGTGCTTTAATATGATGTGCTTGCTGCTGAATGACTGAATTGTTGTGACCATGTTTTCCGATGCGAGGCGATAGTTTATCGCCAATTTTCATGCCGTGCAGAGGTGAACGCGGAACAAAAGACGACGTGCGAACAAACGAGCAATGATTTAACGAATTCGTGGTCCTACTACCAGACAACAGCAATAACAATAACAACACTCAAAAAGTAAAGATGGCAATTTGAATGTGGGAGAAGAAAGGCCAAGAGCAAAAGCTTCAGCCAACCACCAGCCACCCACAATCAAACAACCCTAAAGCGTTGAAACCCTTGTGCCCTCAACCCCGCCGCCGCCTCGTAAATCGGCAAGAAGAAAATAAATTTTCCGTCTAAAGCCGTACAACACGACGATGACGATGTCGTCGTCAACGATTTGGTTCACACGAGATTCTTGGCTGTAATACAAAACAATAACAAAATACAATTTATGGTAACAGACAAGTGTGTTCGTGAGCCACGAAAAAATTGTATTGCGTATACGGGCCAACACCGGGTCCTGGCGAAACGTAAATAGAATGTGAAAAAAGCCGTCGGTAAAAATGCATTTCTGAGCAAATAAATGAATAGATTCCAATATTTTGGTGCGGAAAATATTGGAACCAAAAATTTTGTTAAATAAACGGGGCAATGTCCTTTGAAGCAAAGAAAAGTCCAGTGTTGTAATAAAGTATAGAATTGATAAGAAAATATTTGAAGTGAAGTGATTTGCCAATAATAGGTGACGTGTCAAACCAAACATTACCCGAAATGGATCATCATAGTGGTGGTTTTGTGGCCTCACCATGGGCTGCCGTTTTGGGCCACCATGCAATGGCCGCGACCGCCGGTGCCGATGCAGGATTTGCAGCAGCGGCTGCAGCGCATGTGCAAAATGTTGCTGTGGCCGCACAGCACCATCATCATTCGCATCATCAAATAGCCGCTGCTCATCACTCACATCACCACGGACATCCGCATTCGACACATCCGCACCATCCCCACCACCACCATCATCACACACACCCGCATTCGCATCATTTAAGTCCCACCGGTATGCCAATGGATTTGCATGTCCCCCAAGGATTTCCCTATTACAGGTAAAGTATAATGACGACGCCTCCAAAGAATATAAAAAAAATATTAGGAGGAGAGGTGAAAATATGTATTTAACCCAGCACAACGAAAAGAGTACTCCAAAAATCCAACGGAAGCAACAACAACAATATACGTTAGGTGTATGGCCCAAGGAAACAAAATGCTTTTGCCATCTCTTTCTTTATTTTATGGTTTGTTTGTTTGTCGGTTCGCTTGACTACATGATGGATCCATCATTTATTCAACCCCCAAAAACTCTGGGGAAAATGTCTGCAATAGAAACTCAAAAGATGAACTACGTGAAAATTGGGTATATGCTTTCCCTACAATGGGGCGTTGTCACCTGTTCGGATGCTGTGTGTGTATGTGTGTGAATTTATAGCCTTTAATATTTTTCCATATATCCATGCAACAACATAAAAATGCCGTCGGAATTGTGAATGTGACAAAATATTAAACGTAACGTAAAGGATTAAAAAGATTTCACAATAAGCCAAGTAAATAATAAGGATTATTTATATGTAAAGTGGATTTGCGGAAACGTTTGCCTCTAGAAAGTGGCGAAAGGAAGTAGAATTTTGGTACAACATATTCCACACGGATATTAAATTTTATTTAAATTTATACAATTTATTTAAATTTTTATTAAATTTTTGTGTAAAAGAAACTGAAGATCCTGTGTGACGAGAAAAACTCAAGAAAGGATATCCTTGGTGAAAGCTGCCAATATATCAAAAAGTATGTCAGGATGTGTGTCATGGAAACCCTATCTATCCCAAAACCGATTTCAAAAAAAAAAATTCAATCAGATTTCTTGCTTGCATACCATATTGGGAGTATATAACGACATTAGGGAGACTTCACTATTAAATCTTGTAAAAGATATAGTTATGCCTAATCCTTCTCCACCAGATTACACAAAGTATCCTTATGACAGAATTCGATCGATTGTGCTAAAAGCCATCTTGTTTCGTTGCACATTACGTATTTGGGGCATAATTCTTGAATGGTTTCTCCTTGTGCCCAAGCGAAGGACTTTGCAAAGTTTTAGCTTGATTGGAATTGTACTAAAGCGAGGAGACCGGCGGACATGCATAGATCGACTCTAATGGTATCGATTTTTGTAAGAACTATAATCGCACGCATTAATCCTATAGTCAAGACATAGGCAGTATAAAATTCTTTTGGACCCGAAAGATTTTTAAAAAAATAATAATGAACAAAGCCAATTTGTAATAAATAGATAATTATTTCTGCAAAAAAATCCGAGGCGAAAATGGATAACCAAATGGAAACAAGTTCACTGCTATATAAGTGCCATATTATTACTATGAAAAATGTAAAAACGAAAAACGATTTATTTATCCGACAACATAATTTTTTATGTCTATCGGAAATATATAGTAACCAGTCATAGAGTAATGCATTTTTTCTCTCACAAATCTAAAAAAAAAAAAAAACAGTAAAGAAAGTCTTAAAGTAGGGCGAGACCGATATGATACCCTACACCACTTTGCTAATTTAGCAGAGCTCCACATAACAATTAAAAGTTTTTATGGGAGAATTCAATCATAGACGCTATAAATATAAATATAATTTAAAGTTCAAAGGACTAAATACGCCGAATCATTTGTATCTTTTAAATTCGGACTTGTATTGCCCATTTGGTGCACAATTAATTTCAAATCGGATAAAAATATATGGGAATCGGAACCGATCTCGATAAAATTTGGCAAAGATATTTCTGAGCTGTATTTGATATATTTCCCTGAATATCGTTGTTACGGAGTGCATATTACGGCTGTGGGTAACAATTATGACAAATCGGATGAACAGTATATATGGGAGCTATAGCTATATCTGAACCGATCTTCACCAAATTTGATATACTAGCTTCTAGATTTAATTCGGTCGTAAGTGCCAAATTTCATCCAATTTGGGCAAATATTAGACGTTTGGTGCACAATCAAATATAAATCGGACGAAGTTATATATGGGAGCTACATCCAAATCTGAACCGATCACGATAAAATTCAGATTACAAAAATAACAAATCGGATGAAAAATATATATGGGAGCTATAGCTATATCTGAACCGATCTTCACCAAATTTGGCATACTACCTTTTAGACTCAATTCGGTCGTAAGTGCCAAATTTCATCCAATTTGGGCAAATATTAGACGTTTGTTGCACAATAAAAAGCAAATCGGATGAATATATATATGGGAGCTTTATCTAATTTCAATAGGGTTCGTCCTTGGACCAAACAAATGTTGTTTAGAAAATTTCATCTCATTCGGATAATAAATGCGACCTGCATTTTGTTCACAAAAATACATGGACAGATGGACGGACGGACGGACAGACGGACTGACATGCATAAGGAAACTCGGAAAGTGATTCTATGGAGATCCTCAAAAGTAACTCGTCTATCTCGCTTCCTTCTCCATGTTACAAACAAATGCACAAAGACATAATACCCTAACCACCTTGTGGTGTAGAGTATAAATACCGAATGTAGCCGTATATTAGGGTCTATACGACGACGTGGGCCTGCATGCGCAACTTTTGTCATAAGCTTGCACAGACAAGTTTCTGGCAAAGGCTGTAGTATCCATTACGAATTTGAATTTGAAATAATTCCGGTAAAAAATGTCGCTAAAATCATCAAAATACCGCATATCCGGAGGTACCGTTATATGGGGGCCTGCAGACATAATACACATTTGAGTAAATGTTCATCAACTTACCTACCTCCACACTATGGTGGAGGGTATAAAAATGTAAAAACGATTTATTTATTCTAAATCACAATTTTTTGTGCTATCGGAAAGATGAAAGAATAACCCGTCATGGAGTGATGACTAACCCGTCATAGAAGGCTATAGCCGTGAGGGGCCGACCATCTGATACCCTACAACACTACAATATGTTAGAAGGCCCCTTATGTCCAAATCCATTTTGGAAGATTCCGCTTTTGAAATTATGTCACGGAGCACTGCCCATTTATTAACCTTAGCGTTTTGACAAGGGACATTTGCCCATTATCTACGCACTCCGTCGTGATGTTAGTTGTTGTTATCCATTTTACAGTTCAATATAATCCAAGGGTCATCCAAAATGCTGAAATTCTTCCCTGTCCTTAACACACTTCTCAGGCGTGTCGATTAGCTTCAATTGTGTGATCAGGATTTTTTTTTCTCTTTATACCCTACAACACTATGTGTTGGGGGTATTATAAGTTTGATGGGCAAAAAATTATGTAACACCACGAAATATTGGTTTCCCACATAGGAAAGTATATATGGATCTTCCTATGTCGAGGAGCTGAGTCGATCTAGTTATGTATGTCCGTCCGTCCTTCTGTCCATGTTAATTTGTATTCACTCTACAGGTCGCAATTATGGCCCGATCAAAGCGCAAGTTAGCATGGGGATAGAGCTTAGGGCTGGGCAGAAGCCTTCCAATTTTGATGGTCATCGGGTAATATTTTGTGGGTGAAATAGGCCACAACATTTGTGTTAAATAAAAGTCAAATTTTCCATTAAACCGCGAATATTTTTAATCCCGGCGAAATCACAAATAGACGAACAGGTAAATTCTGACCGTTACGTAGATGCCGGTAGTAAATATATAGGTTATATGTAGCGAAATATATACAATGTGTATATACAGACGAAGGGGATGTTAGTTAGAATGCTTTTATCTCAAGAATGGCTGGACAGATTTTGACAAATTTTGTCAATTCAGAATGCCCTCTTGACATACATTTGTATTTGTAAATTTGAAGTATTTTGTGACATAATTTTTTCTTATTTTTTCATATTTTTTATCGCATGCGATTTTTTCAATTTGACTTATAATATTTTGTAATATTTTTTCACCTTACAACACAGGTTGGGGATACTATATAAGTATTGCAAATATCGTCCGATCCTCACGAAAATTTTCACAAGGGTTGGGTTCGGCTCAGAAGGGCTTGACCTATTGTTTTCAAAGATGTCCGCAATATATTAGGGGTTGAAATGGACCAACAACTAAAAATTTTCCTGATTTTGCAGCAGTTTTAAAGGTCACAAATAGAAACCAAAGGACATGAAATCTCGCATGAAGTTAGAGTTTAGGACAGCGGGTAGAATAGACCACTAATTTTGTGTGAAAAAATACCAGCATTACTTACAGGCGATATCCGAAATACACAAAAGGCGAACTTCTGTCTTTTTTATGCTGATTTCGTTGACGAATATAGTCAAATATCGTAGACAAGCAAATCATATAGATGAGTCTAAATTTTGAGATACAGTCAAAACCCTAGTCAAAATCTTAATTTCAAAAGCGAAATCTTCCAATATGGATTTGGACATAAAGGGGCTAATATATTGTAGTGTTGTAGGGTATAACATAGTCGGCCCCTCACAACTATAGCCTTTGCTTACTTGTTGGTTTACTTTCGTCAACGAAATCAGCATATAAAGCCTTTTTGTGTGTTTTGGATATCGCCTGTAATTTTTTTTCAGCGTTTCGATGGAATGGATATGTTGGTATTTTTTCACACAAAAGTAGTGGTCCATTCTATCTGCTGTCCCAAACTCCAACTTCATGTAAGATTTCGTGTCGTTTGGTTTCTATTTTCGACCTTTATGACGGTCCATTTCAATCCCTAAATATATTGCGGACATCTTTGAAAACGATAGGCCTAGCCCTTCCGAGCCTAACCCCAACCTTGTGAAAATTTTTGGGTGAGTTGGACGATAATTGCAATCTGTAAAGTAGTAAATATTAAGGTGAAAAAATATTACAAAATATATAATATATTATAAGTCAAATTAAAAAAATCGCATGCGATGAAATATATGAAAAAAATAAAATATCTCAAAATACAACAAAATCTATATTAACATCATTATTGGTATCTTTATATGCAATTTTTTCAGATTTTATACTTTTATGCCAAGGGGACATTCTGAATTGACAAAATTTGTTATAATCGGTCCAGCGCAG